TATCTATCTATCTATCTATCTATCTATCTATCTATCTATCTATCTATCTATCTGTTCATCCATCCATCTCTCTATCTTCCCTCCCTCCCTCCCTTCCTCCCTTCCTCCCTCCCTCCCTTCCTTTCTATCTGCCTGCCTGTCTATCTATCAATCTATCTAGCCAGGTTTCTTTGTGTTTTTTCTGGCTGTCCTGGAACTCCTTCTGTAGACCAGGCTGGACTCAAACTCGCAGAGACCCACCTAAAGGTGCACGTCACCACCACCTGGCAATTTTTTTTTTAAACCACAGTCTGAGAATAATTTTTATGTGAGCTGTGAACTTAGAAGTGGTGTTTTCAATTTGTAAGTTATGATTAACAAAAAGAGTGGTTACTATTTAAAACTGCACACTAAAAATACCTAGAAGGTAGCCCCAGGGCCCTTCAGTGCTCCCTGCTCCCATACACGGAAGAATCTGTTGCTGAACTCAGCCCCCTCACTCTGTGTCGTCCCCTTGACCTGGCTCTGGAGTGACCTTGGTTTACTACATTATGGACCAAATGTCTTTTGGGATGACGTGAGTCTCCATTTTTGTCTTTTTTCCCTTTAGTGCACACCCTTACAGAAAATGTTGCTTTTTAAATATGTGTTTATTAGGTCAATCTGCTACATACATACCACATTTCTGTACACGAGTACTCTATGTGTTTAAGTGTATGTACAACCTGTCACTTGTTGGAGTGATACTTTTTAGACACTTTTTATTTATTACTGTATAGGATATGTATGTGAGGGAGTGAATGCTATAGTACAGAGGTCAGAGGACAACTTTTGTGGAATCGGTTCTTTTCTTTCACCATGTGGGTCTTGGGGAATCAAACTCAGGTCATCAGGCTTAGCAGCCAGCCGCCTTCACCCTCTGGACCATCATGCCGGCCCCACAAATGGGCTTTAATATGTGACTTTATGGGTTAAAAAAAAAAACATAACCAAACTAGTAAAGTCTTTTATCGCTGGTTTTTCTGTATATTTCCAGTTAAGGTGACATGCCTTCATTTTCGTCTTAGGAACCTTTCAAAGAAATACCAGCCCAAGAAGAACTCGAAGGAAGAAGAAGAATACAAGTATGTCCATTGCTGGTGGAGGTGTGGTGAGATGGGTGTGGGTGGTACCTGTGAAGGGACGGGAGAGAACTGCATCTTCTCCCATTGGTCCTTTCCCACCTTTCCCTCTGTGTCCTTTTGGAACTTGGGGAAGATGAGGAGAACGCTTCCTTAACCTTGACTCTGAGCCCGGGGGCCCACTGTGTCCTCTAAACCAAGTAGGGAATGTTTTAGGAGGTCCTGCAAGCACCCTTCCCAACGCTGCCACCCCTCAGTACAGTTCCTCATGTAGTGGTGCCCACAACCATAAAGTTCATTTCTTTTTGCTTCATAACTGTACGTTTTGCTACTGTTATGAGTTGTTAGGCGGGTATCTGATTTGTGACCCCTGTAAAAGAATCATTCAACCCCCCCCCCAGGGGTCTCGACCCACTGACTGAGAAGCACTGGCACAGAGCCTGGGCTCCCTTCTGTAGCATCAAAAGCCCTACCTCACCTGTTCATCCATCCAAGAACCGTGTCTGTGTCAGTCAGCAGTGATGGTCATCATGCGTGGTGGGAGCGTCGTGTTTGATGTAGGTCCAGAGGCCTGGAGTACTTAGTGGAAATGGGTGCGTGAGTTTGGGACCATCTGTGGACTGATGAACAGTGCCAGAGCGTGTATTTCACAGAGCACCTGTGTCCACGTTTGGACTGTAATTAATTCTGAGCTGTTGTGTAATGAACCAGCAAGATCCTCTGGGAGGCGGATGCAGAACAGACTGGTTTTAATTAGTATTTCCTCGAGTAAAGCATGTGAGGACGGAGGGAGGCTTGTCTGAGAAGGAGCCGCTGTGCCCTGTCCCCAGGTACACCGCATGCAAAGCGTTTCTTTCCACCTTGAATGAGATGAATGACTATGCGGGGCAGCACGAGGTCATCTCCGAGAACATGACGTCACAGATCACGGTGGACCTGATGCGCTACGTGCAGGAGCTGAAGCAGGAGCGGAAATCGGTAATGTGGATTGGGATGTCTTCCCCCAAAATTTGGACCAAAGGCAGGGGTGTTCTCCCATTTGAGAGCTACAGGGGTGTGGGGCAGAGGCAGAAACTTCTCTTCACATTCAATGACCAGCTACGCTACACAGTGATTTCTAGGCCTTCAAGGCTGCACAGTGAGACCCTGACATAACAAACAAAAACATAAAGGAGCCCAGGCATAGCACTGCACCCCTTAAACACTTGAGCAGTAGAGGAAGCAGGTGGATCTCTGAATTCAAGGCCAGCCTACTTTACAGAATGCGTGCCAGACCAGCCAGGTAACATAATGAGACCATGTTTCAAACAACAGCAGGCTGGAGAGAGCATGCATTGGTCGAGAGAACTAGCTGCTCTTGTAGAGGACCCAGGTTCGGTTCCCAGCACCCACATGGTGACTCATGACCATCTGTAACTCCAAACTCTAAGGCATCCAAGGCCCTCTTCTGACCTCCTTGGGTATAAAGCACAAATGTGGTACGAATACATACATGCAGGCAAAATACTCCTACACATAACATTAAATATAAAACAAACAAAACTAGAACCAGCCGTGAATGGTATACGTTGGAGGTAGAGGCTAGCAGAAATTCAAGGGCAACATTGTGTGTGTGTGTGTGTCTGTCTGTGTGTTTACATGAGTTCACTTAATCGCCTGTCATGATGTGTGCTTAGCGCTCAGAAGACAACATGTAAGAGTTGATTTCTTTACCTGCTGAGCCATCTCACTTGTGCCTGCAGCTGGTGTCTTGTCGGTGAGACTCAAAGGGCTTATTTATTAGGTCTCCTAGCACATGGAATTAGCTGGGCCAAGTGCCCACAGCTCCGAGGTTGGAGCCATAAGCTTGACAACATTCTCTGCTGGACCAGCCATTAAGGAAGGTGTTTCATTTATTTGTTTGTTGTTGCTGTTTTTCAAGATAAGAGTTTCTCTGTATAGCCCTGGCTATCCTGGAACTTGCTCTTGTACCAGGCTGGCCTCGAACTCACTTACCCACCTGCAAGTGCTGGGATTAAAAGCGTGCACCACCATGCAAGATATTTTATTTCGTGAAACAGCTAGGAAACGGTTAGACAGAACCCTGGGGCTCAGAACAAAACATTACCATCTAGTATAAAGATAAAATAAATACATGGAATCTGGAAACAGCCTTGGCCAGCTGCCCTGCTTTTGAACTTGCCTTGACCTTTGTGAAGGTTTCTCTCCTCTTCCTGTTTAGGGCTCTGCCCATGTGCTGGCCACTGACACCTCTCTACCCACAGGATTTAGCATCTTAGCCAGCTTCCCAAACAGAAACTCTTTCACCTTTTTAGCAAGCACTGGTTCTGTTCTAGGAGTGAGGGAAAGGATGGGAAGGGCCTGAGAGCTGTGCCCTTCCTTATCCTTCTTCTCCCGCTGTGTGGTCCATGGCTAGGTTCACTGTCCTCTGGCCTCAGGGCCTTTGTACTGGTTTTTCTCCCTCAGAAAGCCTTTTTCCAGGTTCTTCAGGAATGTTTCCTTCCCAGAGAGGACTTTCTCATCTGCCTCACTTAAAATTACAGAGTTCTTCCGGCCTCTCCCCCTTTACCTTCCCTTGCTTGGCAATATTTTTTGTTGTTGTTGTTTTGTTGAGACAGAATCTTTCTATATAATCCTGGCTGTTGTGGAACTCACTCTGTAGACCAGGCTGGCCTCAAACTCAGAGATCTGCCTGCCTCTAGAGAGTGCTAGGATTAAAGGTGTGTGTCACCATGTCCGACAGCTTTGCAGTGTTTTTTTAAGAGAGAGACAGATAGACAAAGTGGGAGTCAGTTGGTTTGTACCTCATGTGTGCAGATGTCCTCTGAGGCAGAAGAAGGCATCCGATCCTCTAGACCTGGAGTTAACAGCTGTTGTGAGCCACCCAGCATGGGTGCTGGGACTAGTCTCCTGTCCTCTTCGAGAGCAGCCAGCACTCCTAACTTCCGAGCTGTCTCTCTAATACCTTACATCATTCTTGTTGGGTAGTGCTTAACAGGGTCTAGATTTGCAGGGGAAGTTGGAGAAGCACTAAGGACAGAACCAGGGCTGTGTGCATCCTAATCACACACTCGCCCACTAACCCCTGCCCTGACAGCTGCTCGCTTGCTGGTCTTTCTCCCACCTCACATTAAAAAAAAAACAAAAACAAAAAACAAAAAACAAAAAAACAATGTCTGCTCCTCCAGGACAAGGACGTCCTTGCCTACCTCATAAGGTCCAGCATTGCAGAAGGCAGGCACACAGAAGATGCAGCGAGAAAGGGTGGCAATAGCTGGGAAATAACAGATGTGCCCCAGGGCTGGGAGTGTAGTGCAGTGGAGAGCTTTTTTTTCTAGAGTTCACCAGTAAGGGAGCAAGGGTGTGTGTGGCTCAGTGTTGTAGACTTGCCTCTTATATACAGAGCACTGGGTTCCAGGCCCAGCACACACACATACACACATACACACACACACAGAGTGTTAATGTCTACTTAGTTCTAAGTTTATAGATAAGGACCTTTATATGCCTTTGCTATCTTGTAAATGGATTATCTTATTTACTCATTGTTAATTATCTTTTTATAATCTGTTATATTATCTCTTAAATCATGTGGCCTTAATTTTTTTTAAGATGTATTTATTTTAATCCTGGTGGTAGCGTCTCATGCCTTTAATCCCAGCACTGAGGAGGCAGAGGCAGATGGACTTCTGAGTTTAAGGCCAGCCTAGTCTACAGAGTGAATTCCAAAACAGCCAGGGCATAGAAACCCCGTCTTGAAAAAAAAATTTTTTTAATATATATGTGTGTTTTGCATACTTGTGTGCCTGGTGCCCAAAGAGGTTAGTTAGAAGAGCAAGACCAGCCTGGTCTACAGAGCGAGTTATAGGACAGCCAAGGATACACAGAGAAACCCTGTCCTAGAAAAACAAAACAGAAATGGAAGGAAGGAAGGAAGGAAGGAAGGAAGGAAGGAAGGAAGGAAGGGAGGGAGGGAGGAAGGAAGGGAGGGAGGGAGGAAGGCAGATGAGGGTATTGGGTCCCCTGAAACAGACAGAAGTCATAGGCTAAGCCTCCATGTGGGTGCTGGGATCTGAGCTGGCTTCTCTGTAACCAGCACTCTTAACCACTGAACCATCCTTTTGCTTTTAAGGACCTGGGAGTCAGCTGTTCTGTCAGGACAATCTGTGATCTGCAAACACCACTCTGTTTGTTGAAGCATTCTGTAATTAAACTAGACTGACATTTAAGAACATTGTGAAATCTTTAGAAATACTGGAAAGAATGTCTGTCAACAAATACATATTTGTGGTATTTTCATAGGCGGCTTTGCGAAGCCATCTCTTCTTTCCTATATCATGGTTACCATTATTTTGAAGGGCTGTATAACTCAGTGTGGTAACACAGGTTCTTAATCCCAGCATTAAGGCTGAGGCAGGAGGACTACAAATTAGAGAATGGAACTGGCCAGCTAGCAAGACACTGCTCAAAAAATGTGTGTGTGTGTGTGTGTGTGTGTGTGTGTGCACGCGCTTGTGTGTGAGAGAGAGAGAGAACACAAGACAGTTCTGTGGATAAGGCCTTAGCCCTCAAGCCTGATGACCTGAGTTTGAGCCTGGAGATTCACGTTGTATAAGGAGAGTACTGAGTCCTGCAAGTTGTCCTCTGACCTCCACACACAATGTGTCCATATATACAGAAATATAAGATACATTTTAAAAATAAGATAAAAAGTTAGTAGTGGTGGTACATGTCTGTAATCCCAGAACTCAGGGAGGCAGAGGCAGGCGGATCACTATGAGTTCAAGACCAGCATGGTCTACAAAGTGAGTCCAGGACTGCCAAGGCTACACAGAGAAATGCTGTCTTGAAAAAACAAAGAAAGAAAGAAAGAAAGAAAGAAAGAAAGAAAGAAAGAAAGAAAGAAAGAAAGAAAGAATTAAAAAAGGCAATGTGATGGAGCATACTTGGGAGGTAGAGGCAAGACAATCATAGACCTAAGATCTTCCTCAGGTACACAGTGAGTTTGTGGCCAGTGTGGGTTGCAAGAGATCCTGGCCCAAAATCAGCCTGAGTGGTGGCGCACACCTTTAGTTCCAGCCCTTGGGAGCCAGAGGCAAGTGAATCTCTGAGTTTGACGCCAGTCTGGTCTACGTAGCAAGTTCTAAGACATCCAGGGCTACTTAACTGAGATCTCGTTTCAAAACAAAACAGAACAAAAAATCACAGACACAACAAAAAGCTTAGAGGCCTTTGTCCTATGGGTGTGTCGATACACTGATGGTCTGGAAGATTGGTTAGCCCTGCACCCACTGTCCCGGATAGCTGTGGCTAACCCTGCCCAGTTGGAGGTCTGTGACGTTGGCACGGGAGCTGGAAGCACAGGGAGGTGGTATGGGTCTGTTGGGTCTGCGGGGTCCTGCTGGAGGTGTTACCCAGGCAGCCTGGACCTCAGTGCTAAGCGAGGCTGCACGCGTGCTTTTATTTCATGCGTGGTTTTCTAGCTTGCCCACACAGCCACCAGTTGCACATCTGCTGACCCCTGCCTGTACACCTTCCACTCTAGGCATTTCTGCCCAACGGTATCATTTCCCAGTTTCTGCTGAGATCAGAACAAGGTCCCAAGACACTTGGGTCTGTCTTAGAGGTGGGACAGTGCTGATCTGTGGAGTCTGTTTTCTCTTCCCGTTCTTACGTAGGTTATGGGGTTTGAACTCGGGTCTGTATAGCGAGCACCTTTTAGCCATCTCACTGTTCTGTCATAGTTTGTATGCTCAGTTCTCTCTGGAAAATGCATTGTTTTCATAATCGGATCTTTAGTGGGTGTTCCAGTCATTCATTCATAAATGAATTTACAGCTACATAAACACTACGAGCTGCAAGTCAGCCCCATTTGTTTATTGTTTAAGTGCTTTTTATTGTTTTGTTGATCTGTAGTATTACTGGTTTTGACTGGTTTAGATTAAACAATTCCACAATCAGCTCTTTTTAGCTCTTTG